TACAGAACCTATCACATACATATTTGGGTAAAATCTTTACTAAAAATACCTGCTTGGAATACCTAAACCATTTTCCAAACTTTAACCTTTTTAAGACCACTATCTCTTCCAATTACAAGACATTGGTTGTCACTTATACATCAAAATTTACTTTTCTCTCCACCTTAAAATCACCATGAAAAACACACACACTTCTTCATGTTTTAATCCTTTTAAGTATCAAAGTTATTGACAAAACAAGCCTACATAAACATCCATGGCTGTATAAGTGAATATCTATCCTCTATTCCACAACTTCCCGTCGATTGAACACATCACTTCAGAGAAATCGAAACTAACCATTAAAGACAAGACATAATTTCACCGAATGGAAAAAAACAAAACAAACATTAATAGGAAATTTAACCGATGTGAAAACATGAACAAAAATCAAGGTTGTATAACGTTATCAGTATAGCTGTTTGTCAGTGTTACGATCATATTCAAATTCCAATAAACGCTAGCAGCCATCTATCGGCTCAGTACAGCTTTCCTTTCATGTCTGAGTACGACGTCATCAATAATTACCAAACAGGCGCAGGCAAGCAGTCATCCCTATTGATTCCAGAGATCACATAAAACACAAACTTGATCAAGTCTGTTAGAGTTACGTCCCCTTTTCTTATCTCTATAAAAAAAGAGTCTGATCGAAGGTATGTACAGAAATCAGTGGTAATTTGTAAAGTACAGTAACTGTTTTACATTAATTTTTTTGAAAATAAAATACCGGTAACTGATGCATTCCATACACATGAAAACATAAAGGAAAATTATTTATCTGAAAATACAAATTTACTGCTTCTGTTAGAGTATAATATAATACCCCATTTTGCTCACAACCACAAAATCTTGCAATGAAACTACAGTATAATTAACTTTAATTTCAAAACAGCTTCAAATAAAACTAAATACCCCACAACAGGAAACAAGGAAGAAAATTAATATAATTGTAACCATTCTTTTCAATTAAGACTAAATTACTGATTTGATCCTTTACATTATGACATTATATTACAATCTATTATCATTTTATATTACATCACTCTAGTTCATTATTTTTTTAGATAAATATATTCTAGTCAGATCTAAGCGGATGAATGCATTAATGTGAAATGCATTTATTTTTTAATCATTTTCCTCTCTGAATTTTAACTTTATCATGTATACTATGTATACTTCTGTGCTATCCTGACAGGGATAATTTATCTGTCTTATACACATGTGGTGGTAGGTTCAAGGCCAAACCAGCACTACGGTAACAGAACACCACCAAAAATATATAATCATAAACAAAAATTGAGCCGTGTCATGACAAAACAAACATAGTGTGTTTTGTGACCAGCATGGATCCAGACCTGAGCCTGCGCATCTGTGTAGTCTGATCAGGATCCATGCTGTTGGCTTACAAATCCTTTTACAAGTAGAGAAACTGATAGCAAACAGCATCTTATCATCAGGTGTTCTTGATAAAAGAAATCTTTGACCTTTGATAATGACACTGCCAAAACTGTACAATCAACTTATGATGACTATTGACCGTACCATCAAACAGGACAATTACTACCATAGATAAGACAGGTCCCTGATGCTCAAAATTATTAAAATAGTATTTGTAGGAATGGTCAGTCCATGACTCCAGCATCACTAAAATGGTTGGAAACCTGTTACTGGCAAAATATACTATAAAAATTTCAAATACTTTTCCGTTACTTTTTTTCTCATGGTGATATTTGGAATGAATTCTTGCAAAATATGTCTCTGTCGTTTCTAGGGGTGTCACAGTTAGAAAAAATGTTAACTGTTTAAACAGTGACGTAATAAACGTGTTAAACGTTTAACCAACCATACTAATAAAATCCTTAGATTTTCAACATTAACTTTGTTTCTTAATGACAAGATATGACATTTTGTTCATTTTTTGTTGTACTCAAAAAGATAACAATACATATCCGAATATAGAGAAACTATAATTTTCCGCTAGGGTCCCTAAGGGTCGTACCATATTCGATAAGATTGGTAAATATACATTGTTGAGTACAACTAAAAAACAAACAATTGTCATATCCTGTCATAAAAAAACTAAGGTAATGTTTAGAATCAATTTAAAACTTTTCCGCCCTGTAGTGAAATTCTGTTACCTCGGATTACCGGTTATTGAATTTTCTAATCAATTTTTAGCTAAAAACCAACTGTACCCGTTTAAACCGATAAACGTGACACCCCTAGTTATTTCACCCAAAAGAATTATAAGACAATATAATCAACATTCACAAATTATCTTGCATATGAAAAATAAAACTAACATCAAAACATCATGTTACTATAATGCATCAATTACAAAAAGGTGTCTTATTTGCATGCAAACTGTTGCCATACATGACTCATAGTTTCATATAACTTAAAACCACAAATCCTACAAGATTTGTAGAAAAGGTCCAATTGTTTCAATATTTCAACACATTACAGTAATGAGTGTGGCTAAATGTTAGTAATAATTGAAATAAAAAAGAAAATTAATTCTTTCGAGATTTCATATGAATAGAATCTAAATTCCATTTGACTATATATACATGTATATAACTTATATTGGCAAGTCGTTGATGCTACTTGGTTTATATTGCATGATAGAAAGTGAAAAAAGATATAAATCCTTCAAGTCTATAAAAAATCATTAAAATTTTATTCCAAGTATTTGTGTTTCTTTATACAAACATACACTTTTATCTATTGATTATATACACCAGATTTTGGCTCTTTATTTAGCAAAGATAAACTCTGTCAAGTACAAGATCTCAGTCAAGTGCAGTTTTAACTCTACCAGGAAGAAAATGTGTGTGAATAAAATGAGCCGTGTCATGACAAAACCAACATAATGGGTTTGCGACCAGCATGGATCCAGACCAGCCTGTGCATCCGCGCAGTCTGATCAGGATCCATGCTGTTCGCTTACAGACCCTATTACAAGTAAAGAAACTGACAGCGAATTAACAGTATGGATCCTGATCAGACTGCGCGGATGCGCAGGCTGGTCTTGATCCATGCTGGTCGCAAACCCATTATGTTGGTTTTGTCGTGACGTGGCTCATATGTATTTCAGTTAAAAAATTGTATAACATTTTAACTGAACAGTTCAGTAATACTACACTTTTAACCATGTGATGAATTTACATAATTATATTATTCATACTTAAAAAAAACAAAACGTTTTCATTAATATATGTAATATTATATAATAATTTTCATGTAAATTATATAATTTTTATCATATTTGTTTTATTTATCCCATTCTTTAATTTAATTCATTCATTTTATAAAATGTACATGCAATTTTAAAACCACAATGGGAATATTAACATGGGGTTTACATAACTCAGACAAAATACCGTAATTGCATAATATTTTTTTTATCAAACCTTCATGAAAATGTAAAACCATATGTGACAGAATAGCAGTATTAACAAGGGAAAGGGAACTCTCAAAGTCTGACACCCCTCCCCCAACACACACACGTACACTGGAATCATGGTTTCTGCAAGGGTGTAAGATTTTCCTAATTGATGAGAAAATTTAATAAAAATACAAAATATATACAATTTTTATATGACAGAATATGCATGTATATTTTAATGAAAAAGCTTAGTGAAATTATCTGAGACATATACAGTGAAAGATACAGAATATATCTCACTCTCAAAACCATCTTATCAATTTCATTGGTAAAAAGTAAAATTAACAAACAAATTGGGGGGGAATAGTTTGATCTGTATTTAAATGTATAGGAATTTTATACACAATAATAGATTTAAGAAAACAATAAATAAACTTTCTCACCACACAACAATTGGCACATGGCAATTTAATGTACTAAAATTGATAATCCAAGCTTTTTTTGTATATTATTACACTGTAGAGTCTTCAATGAATCAACTTCATCTAAACAAATATTCTCATTTAATTTTCCCCTAGAGTTACTGGACCTTTATTATATATTCAATGTGTCACATTGATATAAAATAGTTATTATGTCAGACCACCTTTATGACTCACAATTAGCTTTACCTGTTTTGTTGGTCAATTAGTAATCAAAGTAAAATCAAGGTAAACTTTTCTATGATCAATAAAGTTATCATTCAAGTGGTTTATGAAAGTATTGTAAATATATACATGTATAATTATTACACCTTGACTGTGTTGTATTTTGTGGGAATCACCAATAGCTGATTTATGAGGAATATAATTATTGAGTAATTACATGGATATGCACATCAGCAATGAGTTTTTTATGCCCTATCGGGGAACTTTTAAAGCTGCATATCTCCAGATAAGCCAAAATATTTCAATAAAATCAAACCAGAAAAAATTGTACAAAGATTTTAGGAAAAGTAAAAAGATGCTAGATTTAAGTAATAATTTACAGTCATATTGTGTGCGATTATTGATTGATTTTACAGTATTTTTAACTACATTTCAACTGGCTTACTATGCAGTAAAGGCTATTTTTGAATATATATATAATGACCTCATTTTGATAATGAGTGTTATTTGTAATGTGTAAATTGCTTCCTATTAGGTCACTTCACAATAGTTTATTTTAAAATACATTAATTTTAATAATTTTTATGAATTTTTTCGTGAAAATAAGCATAAATCTGGAGGCATGCTGCTTTAAGACATATGAAATTAGGTAATCTCAAGAGCATGGGGATCATGACAACAGCCTGATTATGTATTTCTAAGATGTTAAGAAATTTTACGGCACTATTTTGTAGCATAAGTTGCTTTTTTTTACTTTAGCTATTCAGGGATCTGGTCCGATTCCCTGATATAAAAAGGAAATTTAAATTTCTAAATAAGGAAAAATACATTGAAAGGAAAAACACACTGATATACATAATTACATTCTGCAACTATTTGATTAAATTAACATTGTTTTTGTTTCATCCTCAACATAATGATCATACCTAGTGTATTCTCATTCATTTTTACTGAGCACATTTTTGTTTCAAGCTGATTACTTCTATACCTGCATACATAAAATAGGTTCCAACAATTTTAACATGGAAAGATCTTTAATGTTTAAAATCGAATTGTATTTCTGATTCTAAAATAAAGTACAGGTAAATGAATTTCCCCTTCCATATATTACCTTAAATAGTAATAAGCAGGAAAAATAAAAGACAGGGGAAACCTCTATTTTTTTCCTAAACCAGATAATGTTGCTATAAATAGACATGACTTGATGTGATACATATTGATCACTTCCCGAGGCTTTAATATTGCGCTGATAAAATACTGTTTACTCTTGATAAACTATTTATGACACTGCTTCTGATTATTACAGTACTATTTAACTATATTCAACCAACTTCAAGCTATATGAAATTAGAATGTACAATATCTAGTGATTTTGAAAATAAATAACTTAAACTGTTGTGTATTAATTAAAATTCCAAGGCAGGGATTTCTACTGAAAACATTAATTCAAGCTGAAATGGAAAATATTAAGATTATTTGACATCAAAACTACCTATTCCTATTTTGTGTTCATAGAACATGGATGCTCCTATATTCTACTGTTTTGACATGAAAACTACGAAAATTAGTTCCCGACAATTAATAATGATTTTGCAGTATTTATCTTTTAAAATTGGACGTGACACTTTCCAAGCTTAATCCTAACTCTTTGAAATTTTAACAAAGGTTTTGACACTTTCCCAATACTCATAAATGTATCAACAGACCTGTATTCATTATCAGCACTTTTTCTTTCTGTGCTGATAACAAGCACAAAAATTATGTCAAAGGCGTTATATTGCCTATTATAGACATATGAATGTATAATTTTCATGTCTAAACATTGTAAAATACCATATTAAACTGTGATTCTTCATATAGTGAGCTTTATAAGAAGTTATGTGTCTAAACAGTATTATACACTTTAAGATTTTACTTTATTTTTACAAACTGTGCTTTCCAGTAAATTAAATACACAATGAATGTAACAGTAAATGTTATAGAAAATGTGGTAGAGGATTGCCTATTAGAAGAGGGGCGCATTAATTTGAAATAAAAGAAAATAAATGGAAGTAATCAATCATTCAAAGGAAATTATTTTCAGGTTTTTGTACACATGCCATAAGTGCAAGTATGGTTAAAGTATTCAGAATACAAATGTATAATGATAATAATACTTAAACTATAGAGGTGATGACAACACAGTGATGTTTTAACACTTATTGGTGGCATGGGCGGGTGGCTGAAATGTTGGACTGTTTTCTTGAGCAAGATTCACTCATTTCTCACTAAAGGTTGGTTCCCGAGGAACAGATTTGAGAGTGTGTCTAAAAGCTTATATCTAATTCCAACAAAATCAAACTAAAAATGAATTCTGTATAATATTATCCTCTTTCAGTTTTACTGTTTATTTTAGCTTATTTTTAAGTTTGCACATTATTTGAAACACCCTCTAAAACTAATCAGCACTGATGTCATTATGAGGACTAGAGTTGAAGTCACATAAAATATCCCTGGTTGAGAGGTATTCACCTTAATTATAAGGTCACTTCTCTTTAGTAAACCAATTAAAAAGTCTTGTACTCTTTCAACTCAAAGCTCATTTTGTCCATATTTTAGGCTTTACAGGTTTATGGCATACCGTAAGTGAAGATTTTGAATTATATTGGTCTGATAGCTGATCGAGTCTGACACATTTTCAACAGAAAGGTCCCCAAACTATGATACAAAATGTAGCTAAATTATGGTATATTGATATTGAAATTCCTTAATTTTCATACAGACTGATCCAAATCAAAGAATGACAAATCTATTACATAAATTCAGCAAATTAAAGGTTTACCAGTGAAAAAATATAATGATTCTGTTATTTCTGTATACACATAGAATACGTGAGAACAAGACACTTCATCCCTCAAATTATGAAGACACTTAACCCCTCAAGACCCCTAATAATTAAGCATCGCCTTGATATGAGGCTGTGATTATTATGGCTATATCCTGTAACAGACCCCAGGGTATAAACCAGGAGTATACATAAGGTTCATTCCATTTTCTTTAAGTTTTTGTATATATATATATATATACAAGTTTTACTCCTCAAATTCACAGAGGGGTCTATTATCCAAGAGATCGCCATTATTAAATTTAATTGTCAACAATTCGAAACTGTCCTTAACCTGTTAACATGATCTTATTTCCTAGATTATTTACAGCTACAGACATCACGTCATCATGCACAGGTATGATGACAAAGAAACTATAAATGGCCTTAGAACTGAAACAGTCAAAATCTACTTTTACAAATAACAGAATAATTCAAACAAACTTTTCTTAACAGTATGATCTGTCAAGCAAATGTCATCAGTTCTCAAATATGAATTAACAATAAAAAACACACCTAACAGCTTACCTGAAAACACCCGAGCATAAAATCCTTCCTAATTCCAACAATTTTGTTACTTGGTTCCGTCTGTTTACTTTCCTCTATGGAATTCAAACAGGAACATCTCTCAGCTTCCGGTGACCTAATGAACCTGTCAAATCGCGAATACCTGTGACAGGTGATAATTGCAGGTAACTGTTTCAGATATAATGTTTCTTGAGTCAATAAAATGTTTCTTAAACGTGTATCTTATGTCGTTGCTTGATAATATTTTGTTTTGATTCGAACAATTTTAATTTTAACATCTAAAAGTGTTTATCGGTGGTTTGACAGGTGGGTGTGAATATCCAGGTCGGAGGTCAGGGGTTACGTTGACAATTATTCAATTACAAGAAATATATAAAACTAACCAAAGTATTAAAAACGTACAAAAAGAATTACAACTACCAAAAAGACGAATGCCGCGCATTTAGATTTTACAGAATTAAGATGAAATATTCTGCTTAACAAAAATATTAGGTTTTAAATGGTATGAACAATTTACCTAAATTGTAATTCAAACGATTAGGGAGAGAACTATAAGTATTTGATACGGAAGAAAAAGTATACCAGTATGTCTGGTTTTATTATTAATTTAAAAACTGGGACATCACCATTTAAAAATGAGTTGTGAACATTAGATAAAGATATAAAATTACCTTGTGAGTTATATATTAGCTATTATCCTGTTGGTATTATCTGCTTCTTTTATTTCGAACTAGTGTAGTTGTTAGGTTAATTGTCTTTTTTACCAGGGGTTGTAGGTTAGAAGAAAACTATTTGGGTTTCTATAAACTACACCAATACTGCTTAGTTTCAGAAAGAGAATATATATTCAATCATGATTTAAACAAGCCTTCAGCTTTCATTACATAATCTATATCTATATATTTATAAACACTAACATCTAAGTACACAAAATGAGCAGTTGAACAGAATAGAGCATTATATAAAGGTCAAACAGTACATTCATAATATAGGAGATAAATCATGCGTGAAACAAACTTTGGATCATCAAATCATTGGGTGATTAAAGGACACTGGTGAATATTCTGAACTGGTTAAAACAAAATTTTAACCAAGGGCGTCATGATGACCCTAAATCGCCAGCCTGAATATCCTTGTCCAAGTTTAATCTATTTTAGTTACCTAATCGAGTAATTGTGACACCATTACCATGATGCTTATGCAAACAATACCTTTTAAACTAATTGGAACTTTTTAGAGAATGTTTTATTAAAATGCAATTTAGGGCAGCCTTATGTAAGTGCATAAGGGAGGATAATCTAGTTAAATAACAGTTCTAAAGTTCAATGATCTTAAACACCATCCAAGGTCCAAACAAGATACTTAATATAGAAGGTTTTGTACTAAATGTTGTTGAAACAAACACTGTTGCACTATATGCACATTGTAAGCATATAGTGTCATTGTGATAATTATTTGGTCCAGCCTCTTTTAAAATTAAACCTTGGTTTTTGGAAGTTGCATTCTGCCTATTGTATTAGTGGTCATCACCTTTGCTTAATAATTTCAAAACCTTTTTAATACTTAAGAATAAACAGAGTGGACATTTATAACATCTCACCTGTAAAGTTCTGTGACTTTGGGATAATGACCTGGTTGTTGACTTCTGCACATCATGTCATCATTGTGATTTTTTGTGTCAAGTTATATCAAAACAATAGTGCAATTCAAATAGTTTACCTTTAAGTATGAACATGACCTTAACTGGAAGAAGCAACCTGGTTATGAGCTCTGCACATCATCTCATAATGTTAATCATTTGTGATAAGTAATTTTAAAAACTTTTCAGTATTTAAAAATTTATGAGAGAAAACAAAATCCGAACTTTTTATAATTGTGCGACCTTGACCTTAGGAGTCATGACAGAAATGTTGCACCTGCAAATAGTGTCTCCATGGTGATCATTTACTGCCAAATAATTCAAGAATTTAAGCAGTTTTAATGATATGGAGCAGATTAAAAACGTGGACTTCTTATGTATGACCTTTGACCTTAGGAGAGTCTGGCACCCTGGTTGTTTATGGTGGTAATCATTTGTGACAGGTAATTTTGAAAAAATTCCATTAGATTAGAAGTTATGGAGTACATGTAGGTATGAAATGTGGACTTTTTTTACTTGACCTATAATTGTAACCTTGAACTTGGGTTTAGTGACCTTGTAGTTTATGGTTGCATTGGTTCAATTCCTAATTGAGGCAAGCAATTATTTCTTAGAGCAAGGATCTTTACACTCATTGCTTAGTACTTGTAAGCTCCAGGAACAGATCTGACTGTTGCAATGATCAAACTATAATAAAACTCTGTAGATGAATACTTTGACAAGACTTCAGACAATTTCTTGCTGAGTTTTAGGCATTTGATAATAAACAAGCAATTATCATAGTATTGCAAGCAATCCATAAGTCCCCTACTGGTTAGAACCCCAGCAACATGAAGGGCCATTGGCCATTCACTTATGTTTCTATTTTAAGTAAATTTGTTGAAAAAGTTCTTTAAAAGTGATCACAGGAAACAGTTTTTATGTACAGAC